TCCTGGAGTTTCAGTTCCTACTTCTGGAAAATGGGAACAATGTTATCTAAGGTCACAGTAAGGAATAAAACAAGATGCTGGGTGTAAGCAGAGTGCTTGGCGCCCAGCAGGGGCTCACCACGACGACTCCTACTGAGAGCCACAGAGCCACACACAGAGCCAGAAGCCACTCCCCTCTCAGAGGCCTCACACTTCTTTGTCAGTTCTGACTTCTGGGGCAGGTTTTTTTTTGCTTGTTTGCTTTCCTTTTTATGACGAAAAATCTCAAACATTTACAAAGGTAGGAAGAATTGGATAATGAACCCCCAGGTACCCATCCAGCTTCAGCAATTACCAGTTCACGGCCAAACTTGTTTTATCTACATCCCTGCTCATCCTCTCCCCAAGATTACTTTGAAACCAATCCTAGTAACCAATTATGTCATTTCATCCGTAAAATATTTTAGTATATATCTCTAGAAGAAAAAAAATTCTTAAAAAATAAAATATGGCAATTCCTTAGTGTCACTAAATATGGAGTTAGTGTACACATTTCCCTGATTGCTTCATAATTTTTTTAAACAATTGATTTGATTCAGGACCCAAATAAGATCCGCATTTTATATTTAGCAAATAACTTTCTTTTAATCCAGTGGTTCAGAAAGCTACCTAGAGGGCTTGTAAAAACAGACTGCTACAGCCCACTCCCAAGAGTTTCTGATTCGGTAGGTCTGGGGTGAGGCCCCAAAACTTGCATTTTTGACAAGTTTCCAGGTAATGCTGATGCTGCAGGCCCAGAATCCACACTTCGAGAACTACTGTAAGTCTATAAAGTTCCCTCCCTCTTCCCTTTTATTTTTTAATTGGCTATGAATATTCATGAGATACAAAGCTGATTGTCACCCCTCTGTCCATGATGTGGGGCCAGATTCATACTGGCAGCATACCCATTACCACAAATTGCATTTGTACCCCGTGTCCCCCACCCCATTATTCCCAACCTCCCCCCACCTCCCCTTTCCCCTCCAATTCCACTTTGTAGCCCAAGGGATGTTCTCTCCCTCTGCAAGACCAATGCACCACTGTGGTCTTTCCTTCCTTCTTTCTCCCTTAGCGCCCACGTATGAGTGAGGACATGCGGTATTTATCCCTCTGTGCTTTGCTTATTTCACTCAACATAAGTTTCTCCAGGCTCATCCATGTTGTTGCAAATGGGAGAATTTCATTCTTTTTTATGCCGGAGTAGTATTCCATGGTATGTATATACCACAGTTTCCTTATCCAATCTAGAATGAAATATATTCTAAGTTCATATTGTACATTTCCTGCCACAGACCTAGAATCAAGCCACTTTTTCAAGGAGCCCTAGTTCCTTTTAGTGGGAAAAGGTATTTAGAAACCACGACTTGGGCATTGGGGGGGCTCATGGGCACTGGATTGAACATTGTTTCTAAAGCCTTTTATGTGGAGAGAGTAAATTTTTATAACAGAAAATACATTTTGAGTTTATACTAATATTTGCAATTCAAATTTAGGATTACAGGGTCTTCATTTCTTTGATTTTATGTCTTTTCTCTTACAGTAAAAATTTCAGTTCCTGATAAAATTAACAGTTGTTTTATCTTACAAATGTATTAGCTTCAGAATATCAATAAATATTGTTATGATTAACAATATAACCACTGAAAACAGTTTAATTATTTTTTTTCCCAGTTCTTTTTGCCCTTAAGAGTATTCCTACTAGGAATGTACGGTCAAATTACAGTGTTTTAGTCATTAAAATGTTTCCTCTTTGTACGGTTATACTCCCAATGCCATATACAGTAAGGTTTGTTTTTCTCATCTTGCTACATAAATTTTTAGAAATTGGTTTTTTCCCATTTTTACTTACTTTATTTATAATTATGTAAACATTTATATAGTTTCAAAGTCAAATCTATAAAACAAGGTCTATTCACAGAAATCTAACCCTCCAATCTCCCCCCTCCCATCCCTACAAGTAGACTGTTTTGTCCTCCACTTTTAAAAATTATTATATTTGTATCCCTCCACACAATTCTCTTAGATAAACTGATGCATATGACACATACTTTCCAGTGCAGTCCTATGAACTGCATGGGATGGTATATTAAATGCAAAAGGCAAATTAACTACACTCAGAGAAAACGCCAGGTAGTAAAAAAAACGACTGAGGTTGCTGGTGAAAACTTGGAAATCTGATTTACACACATTCCACACCAAGCAAAGCACCGTATGAAACATCGGCAGTGACAGAAAAGTGGCTAGAGGCAATTTAACACCACACAGGCGGTCTGTGTACACCAGCAACCATACTGGAGCATCTCTAAGGTCCTTTTTCTAGCTCTGAAAAAATGTATGATACTAAAGTGAGCATCATCAATTACCAAAGAAACCCTTGGAAAAAAGAGGTGAACTGTCATGAGGAATGACCAGTCCCTGGACTAATTTGCAGGCAGAGGAGGATCAATGTGAGTACAATCTTTGTGTGTCTGCATCTCATATGTTATAAACGTGCATGCGTGCACACAGACACACATATATAATAAGAACTGTACAAGTGTTCTATTTAACACTTAGCACTACTATGTGCTAAGGACAAAAACACTGCATTCAGAGTCAGTTGTTAAGCTCAGGCATGGTTGCTTTAAAAATCATATAAGGCAAGTATTAGTTTGGGAGTACGGTAAGAAATCATTCCTTCATTCAAAAACATGAACAAAATAGACATGCTCCTCTGAAGGGAACTAGGGGAAGACAGACAGTAAACAAACATATATAATTTGTGATAAGTGCTATGAGGAAACAGAAGAGGACACTGACTGAGTGATCAGGAAGTCCACTGACTGAGTGATCAGGAAGTCCACTGACTGAGTGATCAGGAAGTCCTCTGACTATAAGGTAACATTAGGCTAAGACTTGAAAGGTGAGAAGGAGCAAGCCAGGAGTGGGGTATGAAACATTCCAGGCAGTCAGACCATCTGTGTCACCTCAGCCTAAGATGGAAAAGTGCTTGTTAGGTCAGAAGAAAGGAAAGGCAGATGAGGGGCTGGAACCCAGTGAGTCCCACTCTTCCTCCCTGACATTCCGTCTTCCACCCAACACCCACACCAGCTAAAAGTGGGTAAAAAATGGTTTTTCTGTGCAACAAATGGTTATGAACTTCCTTGAGCTTAGTACCTCCAAACTTCCTCCCCAGGATCCCAAGAGGGAAACAGGACAGGTTCATTAGAATCTTCAGAGCAGAGAGAGCTGGCTTACCGGCTACTCCACGGCCACATTTGATAGACCTGATGAGAGCTGTCAAAAGGGGCTTAACTAAATGAGGTAAGGACAAAGAATGCAAATTTCCCTTCTGCCTTCCTGCTGGCCTTTGACAAGAATTTATGAATTAGATAAATGAAGCAGGAAATATCTATCAGGCCAGCAAGTATAGAGTTCTAACTCTTCCGTAACCTGCATGCTCCTTCTTTCAGGGAGGCTTCTCTGATTAGCCAGAGTGGGTGCTCAACTTCTCATAATACTACATGAATCCTACAGACAGAAATCAGGGGGTAGCTTCCACTCCGCCTGACTCCTGATTTGAAGCCTGTCATTCCTAAGTAGTTTAAACAGATTTTGAATAAGACCCACTCAAATATGATGATGAAAGCTATCAACAGGAATCAGAAGGTCTAGAGAAAGATATCTAAAATGAAAGGGATTATGTATGAGTAGAAAAGAAGGAGCTAGTCCATGAGGACAAACTGGGACTTAAAGCTTATAAAATAAAAGATAAACTTTGGGTTCAGATACTTATGCTTTCAGACAGGGTTCCACTTAACAAAGATGCCACAGGAGCGGAACACAGGCAGGTCAGAGCTGCAAGCCGAGCCCACGGGGTGCTGGGGGATCAGGTAAGAACACTGTGAAGCCATAACAAGCTCGGTGCCTTCACTTCTGTCTGACACACACCCCAAACTAAGGGTGCAGCCACTGTGGGCCAGGTCCTGGGCTGAGCACTCAGACACAGGACCCAGTAGCATCCTTGAGCCTGGAATCATGTGTCATCACCTACCTGTTCACAATGAAGGGTACCCTGGCCATCTGTGGGGAGGGAGACTCTCCAGAGAAGCTTTAGCAGCCTCGAGGCCTCTTCCAGGATCAGCTTGGCTGTGCTCACGCTGGTGACAAACTTGCTCAGAGGTGCCAAGTATGAACCCTACGTAGAGGGATGAGAAGGCTGTTACATGCAGTCTTGAAAAAGATTATGGACAAGCAAGCTTTCGTGGGCAGCATAAATCTCCAGACTGCAGGGCTTGTGTTTCACATGCTGAGCAAGAGCCTGGTGCCACACGACACCAATTTACTGTTCTTAAAGACTGATGAATTATAGATTATGGGAGAATTTCAGCAGTGACTTAGCCCAATCAGGAACCATGATTAATAACCACCAGCATTAACTATAGTAACTACGCCAAGAAAAGGATCTGTGGTAAGAGCCACTCACACCACTCTGCTGCCCACATAGAATCTCAAGAACAAGTGACACCAACAGCAGGTGAAGCAACATGAATGTGTTTGTCATTAGCGGTCCCTGTTAAACAGCCCTGCTTACCACAAATATGATATAGGGGCCTTGCAAAATCTCTCTCGCCCTTTCTGCTGGCAGAAGCAAATATAAAATGGATGATGTCAAGGGCATGAGAAAACAAAGAATGTGACCCAGAGAAGGGGAAATGCAAAAAAAGAGGAAGAAAAGAAATTAAAAGAGCATTTGTCTTCACCAGTAATAAAATAAATACAAAATTAAAATAACACACCCTTTTAAGATATCAAATTAACAAAAAATCATTATAAATAAAAATATTCAATGAAGGACAAAGGTGTAGTGAACAGATGCTCAATCTTTGAACAGAGATACAGATATTTTTTAAAAAGTAATACAGCAATTATGTTATCATCAAGAGCCCTAAAAAGTTCACAGCCTTTGAACTAGCAATTCTACTTCATACCTAATCAAAAATATGATTGGAGATTTACGTATGAGAATGCTCATCACAAGTCCAACAACCAAGTGCAGAGTAAATAAATGATGGGATTATCCACTTATTAGCTTACTTGGCAGCCATTAAAAGTCAAGTGCTAGAAAACACTGAATGAGACAGAAAAAATATGAATATGACGTTAACCAAAATATATGAACGTCATGTATTTATGAATAGGTTTGATGAATCTTACAAATGACCTAAAAGTATATACAGCTGACCCTTGCACCACATGAGTTTGAACTGCATGGGTCCACTTATACACAAATTTTTTCAATAAATATGTATACAGTACAGTAAATCCTTGTGGTTTTCTTAATAACATTTTCTTTAGCTTACTTTATTGTAAGAATACAGTGTACAATACATATAACATACAAAACATACATTAATTGACTGTTTATGTTATTGGCAAGGCTTCTGGTCAATAGTAGGCTGTTCACAGTGAAGTTTTGGGGGAATCAAAAGTTACACAGGGATTTTGAATTGCACGAGGAGTCAGCACCGCTAACCCGCACACTGCTCAATGGTTAACCGCATATCAAAATTTGAAGTGCTCACCTCTAGGTGGTATTTTTATAGATGTTTTGTTATTATGCTTTACTAGAGTTTCTAGCTTTTGTATAATAAAGATAATAATTAACAAAGAACAATAATCTTATGCATATTTATTAATCTATTCAACAAATATTTACTAAGTACCTATTCCATGCCAGACTCTGCACTAGATAGTGGATATACAACACTGATCAAAGCAGACACTATCCCTGCTCTCCTGGAGCTTATTAACTAGTGGAATATAAAATACAAAATTGATTTTTATGATATAGTAAAACAAAATAAAACAAAAAGTGAAAACAGGTATCACAAAGCAGGGGGCTCAAATATCTCCTGTTAGGACCTGAGAAGAGGAACTAAAAAATGCAACTCATGGAAGCTCAGAGGTCTGGTCCAGTCTGGGGAGGGTAGGGAAGAAAGGTGGCTGAACCTTGGAGGGCGTGAGTAGAGGTACCTCAAGTACCTGGCGCGGGCCCTCGACACAAGGTAACTGTGCAATGAGGAGGATCCTGGGGGAGAGCACGGGGAAGGGGGGGAGGGAGAGGCCGGGGGAGTTCCCAGCCAGAGGGAACAAGAAGAGCCAGGGCTGCCGATAGGACATGGGTGGCAAATAGGGACAACGGCACGCGGCCCAGCCTGTTCAGAGTGGAACACTCGGGGGCACAGCGGGAGATGACAATGGGGAAGCAGGCAGAAGTGAGAAGGCCCTGGAGTCAGTGCCCAGGGACAAGTGGTGAGTGAGGTGACCAGTGCTGCCCTGTGAAGGGAAGCAACCTCAGGACCCAGAAAGAGGCCCTGTGGAGGACAGAGAACTGGCTTCAAATGCCGATCGCCACCAGTGACCTCACCTCAGCCTCTTAAGAGGGAATGACATCACCTATTGCACAGGTTGTTCTGAGGAGGAACTAAAAGAGCATATAAAAATCTCCTGTGCAAGAAGAGACAGGAGCCGCCAACAATCTTGAGGGGGACATAGGATGTCTCACTGGCAAGCTGCTCACAAAGCAGTTGCAGAAATGAAGGTAGGGTAGGGTATGCTTCATGATGATCAGAACCTGTGTCTTCACCACAGCAGCCCCAGAGCCTGAGCACACAGGCCTGGGTGGGGGATGGACAGGTGGACTGGGCGGATGAATGGCTAGACACGCTGAAGGGCAGGTGGACAGAAGGATGAGTGAGAGACTGGAGGAACAGTGGCCGTCGTGGACGCAGTACAGCAGATACCAGTGAAGCAGTCGTAGTAACACATGGTACAAACCACAATGAGTTGCTCCCCACTGGACCTGACCTCTGAGACTTCCTGGGCTACATCTGGTCCCTCTTCTCAGGGCCTTACCGAGGACAATGGCGCCACTTGCCTCCTAGTGCCCTCAGCCAACCCCTCCCACTTTCTGCTCCCATTGAGGACCACCCTTCTTCCAGCTCTGTCGCTCACGTTACCTTTGTTCCCAGCTCTTGACCTGTGGGGCTGGGAGCCTCTTGGGTTTGAATGTCCATTTCAGCAAGGAGCCTCTGGCCCTGGCTAATCTGCTTGCACAGGGCATCATAGTCCTCAATCAGGCCCAGGATGTGACGGCCACTCTTGCTGGCCCACAGGCGGTGGCCAGTGACCAGGAGGGGCATGCCTGGGGTGCTGGTTGCCGAGCTTCCACTGTCGCAGGAGAGGGAGTCCATGTCATTCCCAGAGAGTGGAGGAGTCTCTGAAGATGCAAAATGAGAGGCAAGATGTCAGACCTACTACTTGGGGCAGCAGCCTGTGTTCAAGGAGCCTACAATGTTGAAGTCAGCTAGGAGGACTAAGTGACTCCTCCATGTCCAAATGCCACTCAACACAAACCCAGAAGGGAAAAGAGGACTGACTGCCTTCTGGACCTCCATCTGCGTGTTACCCCACACTGGGCTTACAATTCATCTTGTGGGAGAGGCTGAAGTCAATTCAACCAACACTTACGGACTGCCCCCTCGGCAGAAGACCCACAGATGAATCAAGCTGGTGCCTGCATTCCAGCAGCCCAGGGTCTAATGGGAATATGGGCACTGCAGGAGGTACGACAGCAGTGATAACGAGCCTGAGCTCAGAGAAAACACAGTCATCTTTGCAGAGAGGGAGAGATCGGGGAGGCTGCCTAGAAAAAGCAACAGCTGAGCTTGAACGAACAGGTAGCAAGAACTACGCTATACAGTGGTAAAAGCCTGCTGCTTTTTACCTTTGGATCAACAGAAGTATTGATGAATAATTCTGACTGGGGACAACAGGAAAGGCATTTCACAGAGAGGTCTGCATTCATGATGAGTCTTGAGGAAGTAGTAAGACTGTGACTAGCAGAGACTGGGTCAAAAGGGGTCTGAAAGTCACTGTGAGAGGCGAGTACAGGCCTGGTCGCAGGGTGGTGACCCATCTGTGTGGGTACACCAGTGCAGAGGGACAAAGCTGGACAGGCCCACTGGGACTGCATCCTGGAGGGCCTCAATAGCCACACTAAGGTGGTCACACTTTAATCTAAGGCTACAGGGACCCAATGAAGCTGCTGAGGTTGATTACACGTAGGAATGGAGTAACCGGCTTGGATTAGGAAACCACCAGCTAGAGATGCTGAGGACCTGAAACTCCAAATCCCTACCAAATACCCTCCTGAAGCTGGGACCAGGGACCCCCTTTTCTTCAATCTAAAAAGTCCTCCTACCACACCCAATGTTGCCAACAGGCTTCGGCTTTGTACCCGATTTTGGTGCCAGTGTCACTGCCTGGATGGAATCAAACAGATCAAATGAATTATCAATTGCCACAGGACATTAACCCAATGTTGCCAACAGGCTTCGGCTTTGTACCCGATTTTGGTGTCAGTGTCACTGCCTGGATGGAATCAAACAGATCAAATGAATTATCAATTGCCACAGGACATTTGTCACCATCTAAAAAACAAGGGAAGAAAAATAAACTGTCAGTTTCACTGGCATCAGCATGAGAGAGAGAAGTGAATGAGAACAGAATCAACATACACACACTGATTTACTCAGATGCACACAAGCACTCACTGAAATCTTCACTGGGCATCTGTCCTGCCAGGCCTTGTGCAGGACACAGGGAGTCAGAGTGAACAGGCCCGGTCCCTTCTCTAGAAGAACCCTCTTGTCAAACAAGTAAACAGACAGTTTCACTTCAGTGGGATCAGGTGTAGGGGAGGAAAGTAAGGGGCTGTGGGAGCTCAGGTGAGAGGCACTAACCCCCTCTTGGCTTCCCCAAGGCTAACACCTGCGTTATGTTTTAAGGCTGATTGTGACTGACCTATGGGAAGGAGGAGGGAAGGAAATGCCGGGCAGCAGAATGAGCAGTGCAAAGGCACAGAGGAGTGAGCCATCATTCAGGGAGGAATAAGCAGTTCCTATGGCCGAGGCGGGGCTGCCAGGGAAGGCAGTAGTAGGGTACGAGGCCACAAGCATGAGTTCTTTGCAGTCCACTCAGGGGCCAGAGGCAGGGCAATGTTAGGCTGAGATCTATGTTCTGGATGAGGGGAGTGAGTCGGGAGGCTGCTGCAGTAACCTAAGCGAGAGAGGAGAGTGACCTGCAATAGGATTTGGGGGAGAACACATTTGAAACACTGTAAGGAGGCAAAATTAACAGATGCTATACAGATGACCTGCACAACACATAATTTGGAAAGCACTTTCACATCATCTGAAATGGCAAAATGGCAATTGTAATTCAGGTTTCATGGAAGGGGAGACCAAAGGGCAGAGACAGGAAGTGATCTGCCCAGCATAACCCAGCACGTCAGTGGCAGAGCAAGGACTGTGTGCAGGTCTTAGTATCTCCACCTGAGCTCCTTCCCCCGCCCAACCCCTAGGGGCGGACTGACTGCACACCAGCACATCCCAAGAGTGCACTGCGATTCCCAGGGCTCGGTGGAGCTGGGCTCTGAGAAGAATCACTCTCAGCCAAAGACAGTGGCCTTGAGAACAGAACTTTCAAGCAAGTGTGCTTAAATACAGTCCTGAAAAGTCTTCTGCAAAGGAAGAAGTTGCTGCCTACGATATAATTCTAATCTTGACTCAAGGCAACTGGAGAACTTTTGTACTGAGGTGGCACCGTGAATGTGAGTACTCTCTCCTGGATGCCTCTTGCCAGGCATGCCTAGGGCCGCCTCTGGACAAATCTCAAAAGCAGGTAAAGGCTGCTCAATGGCCTCCACACATCAGCTGCTCAAGTCTCCTTCCAGAGCACCCCAAGCACAGACATTCTCCCTGCTTCAATTTTCCCTAGCAGACCCCCATAATCTCAAAGCCTTCAAAAGGGCCAGAAGCACCTATATTTAATAATGCTCAATGCTGATGAAGTCAGGCTAAAACCACTATCTGTATACACTGTTGATGCAAAGACCATCTAACAGGCGGCAATACAGCACATTTGCAACCCTTTGAGATTCCCCTAGTAAAATTGTATTCTAAGAATATTGTTCAACAGCAAAAAGCATATTAACACTGATGTTTACTATGCTCCAAATCAGAGACCACTTTAATAATTAATGGGATAATTAATGGTTTGATGACTGACAATCTATAAACAATCTTTAGGAAGCCCATGTGCAAGCAAGAGGAACATTTATGATATAATATTTGGAAATATCTATGATGTAACATGAGCCAAGAAAGGACACAGAATGGCACAAAAAACAATTTGAACATATGAAGTCATGCTTGTATCTGATTAACAAATGAAAAGAAACATGCAAAGTCAAGAAAAGGATCAATGTGTAGAATCATGAAGGATTTTTTTTCCCTCACTTTTTTTTTTCATATTATTTACGGCATCTTTTTGGTTAAAATTTTAAAATCCTTATCCAAGAGAAATCAATGAACCAATCACTACAAGTTCTCAAGCAGACTGGGTGCTCCCTAACAGATGTTTATTTTTTAACTTACAGGCAACAGACTTCATTCCCATTCCAAGAAAAGACAAGTCCAAACTCTTGTACAATACTTCTTTATAAAGTACATTGACATTCCTTGTCCCACCAGAGGCACAACCCTCCCTGTGGGGTTTAGGATGATAATCCCCAGCACCTGAGGCTCCAGAAGTTCAGATGAGGCTCAAGAACAGCCCTGGACTCAAAGCTGGAAATGGTTTCTAGCTCTAGCTCTGCCACCTACTTGCTGTGTAGGGCAAGCCCCGTAGACCAAAGAGAATGGCCTGGCTGACTGCTCTGAGCCCAACATTTGCTGGTTTGTTCCAGGCCCTGTGCTGAGCAGGTTGTAGAGGTGTTTTCTCCTCTTTCTGCTACCCTACACAGCCTCTCCAGGGCTAGACAATAAACCCACAACACCAAGTGCAAAACAGAACCACTTTTAAACCTACCAGGATGCTTTCTGGATCCTGAAAGACACTGAAAGCCAGAGTAAGAGGTTTAGATTCTCTGTTAAAGGCAGTAAGAGGGACTGAAAAGGATTTTCAGCATCAGAGTGCTGTGGGCAGCACTAAATGGATGGGAAGGAGCAGGACCGGAGGCAATGTGGGTGGCTGGAAGCCCAAACTCCACTTCCCTGAGAATCAAGACGCCCCAGACAGAGATTACACCATTTTGCCAAAGGTGACAGCTAATTAGTGGTCAGATTCCCTGGCTCCTAGGGTATAGCATGTCTGCTGTCAATGGAAAGACACCTCCATAGGGCCAGGACATCATTCTGAAGTTCACGTCACACACAGATGGCAGAGCTGCATGTTCAGAAAGTGAGGAGATGCAGTACCATGATTTTCTAGCTGAAGGGGCCGCTCAGGGATGGACAGGGATTGAGAAAGCAGGGTGGAGGCTCCTTCCTGTGCCTTCTTTGCCCCCTTTGCCAGCTGCTCCTCGAGCTTGCTCTGCAGGGTGCTGTTGGTTTCGATGCTCCTTTCCAGTTGTGCCCGCAGGGCCTGGATCTCTGTCAGGAGGCCTCGCAGGTCACTGAAAGGATCCTGCCCCTTCCAGCCTTCTCCTGACACCTCTGCTCTGGCCTCTGCAAACAAAGGGAAGACTTTACATTTTCCACGATCAAAGGGTCAGCCATCAAAGGAACTCAACAGCGTTTTAAACCTGCCACCACCCTCAGCCTCACCCTCCCCTTCCTAAGAACTAGGTACAATTTAAAATAACAACTTGACTTGAAAAACAAAAATATTGGCAGACTTAATTGCTGCTATTCCACAGGCTAAATAAGAGCTGGAAATTAATTCTCATTTCTGGCCATAAAAGCCTAGCAAATTGCACACCAAACCCCGAAATTATGTCTAGTAGTAATAAAATCTATTTGGCTGGAATTATAGAATGAAAGGGGATGATTTTTAAGAGCCACAGTATATTAAAAAGGCACAACAGCAAGAATAAGAAAAGCAACTTGAGGAGAAAATGAAAGCTGTGAGATGACCCTTTTCTAGATAAACTTTCAATAGGGAGAAGCCATCTGGAAAATTAGTTTAAAAAAAAACCTGCCACAACTCAGTACTGATTCTGAAATACTGGACTTTATAGTCGAGTCACTCTGATCTGGTATCTCTCTTGGGGTATAAAGAGAACCGAGGCCAACAACCATCCCCAGAGCAATGTCTAGCACATGGGAGGTGCTCCACAAATATTTGCTGAATGAATGGGGAAAAAGAATTACATACGAGCAGGAAAATAATAACGAATGTTATTTCTTGAGTGCCTACTATGTGCTAGGTACTGTACTAGGATGGTTTTAAGAAATGGTCTCATTCAACTTTCACAACAACTCTACACCATGGACATTAACAGAGGCAGAAACAGGCCCAAAGGGTGATGTGACCTGCCGAAGGTCATGTAGCCGGGAATGAGGGAGGGAGAGTCCAGACCCCTGCTGGCCTGACTCCTGAGACCAAGTCCTTCCATGTTTCCTGCTGCAGCTTCAGAAAAAGGGTGGGTCAATGAGCTTGCTTCAAGGCGAAGGTCATGTAGCCGGGAATGAGGGAGGGAGAGTCCAGACCCCTGCTGGCCTGACTCCTGAGACTAAGTCCTTCCATGTTTCCTGCTGCAGCTTCAGAAAAAGGGTGGGTCAATGAGCTTGCTTCAAAATATACCTTCTCTGCCCATGAGGCAAGCCTCGGGTCTGATGGCAACACTGCAGGAAGGAGCACTGCACCCTGCTGTTTCTGCTGCCTGTGGCCCAGGTGAGCTCACACCCAAGACACAGAAGCCTCAGGACAAGAAGAGCCTCAGACCAGAGCGCCCAGTACCTCTCGGTCTCCTGTGCTCTTCATCCAGCTTCTCATACACCTTCAGCTCCACTCGGAGGGACTGGAGTAGCTCGTCATTCTGTGAGAGCATCTGCTGCCTCAACTTCACCTCCTCCTGCATCCTGAAAAGGACCCACCAGCACAGGAGGGTTTAATCCTACCTCAGCGCAGCTTACTCAAGCCCCACAGAGCAGGCCAATTCCACACTCAGCCAGAAGAGTGCTGACAAAAACCTGACAAGTATGATTAAGAATTCCAGTCCCAGCCACCATTTCCCAAGTGCCCCTTGTGCCCAGCCCTTTACATACGTTATCTCATGTCATCTTCACAGACACACCGAGAGGTAGGCACTCTCTAATCCTCCACTCAGAGATACAAGGAAGTGACACTCAACAAGGTTATGTCTCTTACCCAGGGGTGCACGGCTCAGGAGAGGAGCCCAGACTTAAACCCAGGATGTCTGTGACAAAGATGATCATCTGACTACATCACCACACCCCCTGGGTAACCGAGCATGAGGATGGGACTCTAAAAGAGTGGGGCATTCACAAGCCTGACAGGAACAGCTGAAAACATGTGGCACAAGAGAGTCTAAGGGGTAAATTGCAAAGAGCGATCGGTCTGATCCTGTTAAAACCTAAGGCAGACTCATGTCACTCCTCTGCTCAGAACCTCCTGGTGACTTGCTATCCCACTCAGGGTAAAAACCCACAGCCCCTTCCACGGCCCTTTCTCCAGATGCACTGGCCTCCCTGCACTGCTGGGCACAGGCCAAAGCCACTCTGCCTCAAGGACCATGCCCCTTATGCCAAAAAGACCTTCCCCAGCTAGCTGCAGCTCTCACACCCTCACTGCATGCAGCTCTCTGTTCAAATGGCATCTTTTCAAAGAGGACTTCCCTGACCCATCAGGGAAAAAATAGTAACCTGCTCCCAAACTCCTCTCCTTCTTTCCTACATGATTATTCTCCATATATTTTATGCCCACCAGACATACGATGGGTTTGTGTTCACTGTCTGTCCCTGCACACTAGGGCAGGGGCTAGGGTAGGGCGCCTTGTTCCACCACTGCATCCCCAGTGCATGGACGCGGGGCCTGGCCAACAGGGGCTGGGTGATCTCAGCCACTACCTGCTCAGCTCGTTGCGGCTGTTGCAGACCTCCTGGACCAGCTGCTGGTTGTGTCTCTCCTTCTCACTGACCACCCTCTGCAGCCTTTCATTCTCTCCCTTCACACTGGCATACTCTTGCTGAAGGTGCTCAATGTTCGCAGTCTTCCTGGAGAGAGACTCTCGTAATTTTTCATTCTCCTTCTGTTTATCTGCAAATGCAAAAAGCGCCTCTGAGAAGGGACATCATTTGTTTTTTCCAACCTTATTACACAAATACAGCACTTCAGCTCAAGCACTCCAAGAATACAAAAAAGAATGAGATTTAATCTGACATTTATGATTTTGGCATTCCAATTATCTTATGCATTTTGGGCAAATAAATCTGTCAACATCAAGGCTGCGGATTAAACATCACTGGTGTGAAATGGGCCTGTTTAATTTTCTATTAAATAATGGGCTATGCAAACCTCGTTACTTTGCCTTCACAGAGCAAACAGTGGGTAGAAATCACAGACAGAAGCAAGAAATAGGGCCCACAACTCTGGCCATGGGTGTTGGGACAGTCTGCAAGCCTTCCAAAGCCTCCCACCAGGAGGCCAGCAGGGCTGTACAGAGGGCACCCTGGGGTCCCCTCACTCTGCAGACCATGAAGACAGACTCCTCCTAAGGAATAAAATACGCCCAGAGGCAGAGGAGACAAAGTGGTCAACAGCAGGGTGCTTCAGGCAGAGTGGCCAGGTCCAAGTGCGGCTCTGTTTACTGACTCCATAATCTTAAACGAGGTTCTTCACTTCACTGTGCCTCAGTTTCCTCATATGAGTTGTGAGGATAAACTGAGCTACTATCTGCAAAGGGCTTAGCTCAGAGCTTCATAAGTACTTTGGAGGCTGTAAGTGTGACACAAGAATACTCTGTCAGCAGTGCTGGTGGTGACAACAGCGAGCATGTATCAGCACGAACAGTGCAGGCATTACACTCACATGTATCATCCACTTCCTCTTCACAGCAAGCCTGAGGTAGGCACTATAATTCTCCCCATTTTCCAGAAAGGATACTAAGGATTGATGAGGTTCAGACTCCTCACAGTCATACGGCCAGTAAGTGGCAGAGCCAGGATTCAGACCCAGGTTTTCTGACTCCATTCTTAACTGCGACACAGTAATTTCTAAGCAAGCTTTCACCTCCTCCCTTGACATACCAAGCTCCATATAACTCCTGATTGGTCTATACTCTGTTCACCTCCAGCCCCTAGGCCTTAGTCTGCTCTCTTCCTTCTATTTAGAAGACCCTGATCCTCTAAATCTTAGGCACCCTGGCTAATCCCTCCTTATCCTTGAAGACTCAGCTCTTGCAGACCAGCCTCTCCTGGGTCAGAAAGCCTTCTCCAGGGTTCTACAGCTCCCTAGACTGCCTTTATCATGGCTTATCACGGCCCTGGCCTGCCAAGGGTTGTCTGTCTCTCCCATCAGACCATGAGTCCCCTGAGGGAAGGGACCAGGTCCCATTCATTTTTTTTTTTTTTTAAAGATGACCGGTAAGGGGATCTTAACCCTTGACTTGGTGTTGTCAGCACCACGCTCAGCCAGTGAGCAACCGGCCATCCCTATATGGGATCCGAACCCGTGGCCTTGGTGTTATCAGCACCACACTCTCCCGAGTGAGCCACGGGCCGGCCCCCCATTCATTTTTATATCAGAGTCTACAACAGCCCTGACATAGAACAGGAGATGGAAAATGTTTGCTGAGTGAATGAATGACCTACAGAAACCCCAGTCTCATCACTTAGGACAGAATCAGCATCAGTATCCTCCAGGAGAAGTGGGAAGAGCTGGCTCAAGCTCCAGCCCCACCAGCTTCTATTTCTGTTATCAGAGACCAGGCAACTCTCTAAGCCTCAGTTTAATAACCTCTAACCTGTAAAATAGGGCTAATAACACCTCCTTCCAGAATTATTTTAAGTATTGAAAGATGATGTAAGTGAAAGTTCCAAATAAAGCTAAGCTCCAAATAGAAGTAATTGAGACACAGTATCTTTGTAGGAAATCCTGGATACACTTTGCTGACAGTAGGAAATCTCTGGCTGAGATTTTGGCAGTAATATATTTCCAGCCCTTCTCTCTCCCACTGTGAATTAAGACAAAGGAGAGGTGGCTGTATACAGGGGAGGAGTGACAAATAAATAAACATTTACTGAGTCCCTATGTAAGACTCTGTGCTGAGGGCTTTACACAGTTTAATTGTCACACAGCCCTGGTAAGGTATTCCTTAACCTCTCTGAACCTCAGTTTTCTCAGACGTAAAACAGGAATACGTCAGAGGGCTATTGTGTAATGGTGTAAAGCCATCACAGAGCCACAGGATTCGAACCTAGGTCGGGTCAGACTCCAACGCCTGCTTTCATTCCAAGACACGGAAGGCTTTGGGGCTCCAGGCTACAAGTGGCTCCTTTAATTCCTACCTCTGGATCCTTTAACGAGCATCGTATTGAGGGCCTGGTTCTGCTTCCTCAGGAAATGAATTTCTGATGTCAGAGAGTTATGTAGCTCTGAACCATAAGCAAAAATGTTTGTAGAACCTATAAAAACAAACATAAACAGTGATTTATTGACGGGCCCCAGGTCAGTATGAATGGAACTTTCTAGAAAACAGCTTTAAACAATGAGGAAACTCAATGTGCAATGAAAAATCACTCCTGTGAACTACATATTACCAGATTCCAATGAGAAATGAGAGGGAGCTTGGGGGGGGGGGGCACATCTTACTTGTCCTAAGGGTAAACAAAGCAGGAAACCTGGGCCAGGAGTGGGGTGAGTGGGTGACAGTATCAACCTTCACAGATCTCTCTCCTGAGGTTCAAATCCCTATATCCAGCTGCCTGCGGGGCCTCACCACTGAGGCACTTCGGGCCACCTTTCTACCCCTGCTTTCTCGCATGTTTCTCACCTCAGGCAATGGTATCACTACAATCCCTAGCCCGAGCTTGATCCTGGGAGCCATCGTAAACTCCCCTCTCTTCCCTGACCAGTCAGGCAATCACAACTGCTGACTCTTCCTCCAAAATGCCTCGGACACTGGCCTCCTCTTTTCTGTCCCTAAAGTTCGGGCCTCGACACGTTGCTCTAACCTTGCCTCCCTGCTCTTCTGCCAATGCGGTTATCATCCTAAACACATTCCATTCATGTGATTCTCTGCTCAAAAACATCTGATGACCCACCACTGTGAAAGACAATCAAACAAACACAAGGTCCAAATTTCTCAGTCTAGAATCCAAGGATGTCCATTATTTAGCTCCAGTCTCATGGTATACCCCACTCCCTCTCTATCCTGGACCCTAGTGCCCTTAAATGCAGTCACTGGGCCACTTCTGTGCATAAAACACACCAGGTGGTCATTCCCCTCCCTGACTTTGCAGAATGAGGCATTCCCGTTGCTGGAATGCCCACCACCTTCTTTACCTGTCAAAATCCTACTCTTTCAACTCTTAGCTCAAATTCACTGCCTCCAAGTGTATACTGTGAAGACCAAGGTCTAAAGCTCGACAGACTGGGTTGGAGGTCACTTCCTGACCTATACACACCTCACCAAGCTGAATGCCCACCACCTTCTTTACCTGTCAAAATCCTACTCTTTCAACTCTTAGCTCAAATTCACTGCCTCCAAGTGTATACTGTGAAGACCAATGTCTAAAGCTCGACAGACTGGGTTGGAGGTCACTTCCTGACCTATACACACCTCACCAAGCTGTTGTCTACCTCCTGAAATCCTATCCTATCCTCTAAATCCAGCTTAGATGCCAACTCTTGTCGGACACCTCCCCTGCCACTCCACCCCAGCACTCCCCACCCTCTGAGCTTTACATGCCTGCACCATACACAATTCACCTTCACAGGGACCCTCTTGAGAGCACCTATTGTGTGCAAGGCTCCTTCTACAAGTGGCAGGCAGATGCTTCCCCTCCCCATCTTCCATACTGCTTGAGTCCACTTCCTGCACCACAGAGCCAAAAGGCCAGATCTTCTTTTCCAGCCATCCATAACAAGGACATGGTCCTGTGCCTCTTCTGGTCAATGAGACCTGCCAGGAAGTCTGCTGGGAGCTTCTGGGAAAGATTCTCCACCCAGATGAAAAGAGAAGGACAGGGAGAAGCCCCATCCTCTTCTTCCCCATGCTTTGGACACTGTCCTGAGAGGATGGGATGCTTATAATTACTACAGGCATCACAGATATTAACCCCAAACCCAGCTATCACTGAGCCATAAAACCGGTCATGGAACTACCTGCCTCTAGATTTCTTGTTATGTAAGAAAAGATAAACCCCTATTGTTTTCATCAGTTTTTACTCATATTCTGTTATCTGCAGCTGAAAGCATCCTGGTACACAACCAAGCACGTGTAATGTCCAAACTCCTTGTAAGGAAGGTATGACAGCAATTCTCCCACAAGGTCTTACTTGCTCCACTCTGCAGCATTCTCTTTTCTTGTGCTAAAGATTCACTTATGACAATGTCATATAATTTTTTATTCACATATGTCTCTCCCCACCAACCTCCTCCACTGCCCCCTATGAACTCTGGTATCTTTTCAGAGACAACTGGCTTTGAACCATAGCTCTGGGTTTTTAATATCTGCATGACCTCAGGCAAGTCACAAAACTTCCTAAGTCTCCATCAGCTCAATGAAAATGACTGACGTTGTTATTGTTATTGCTATTTCCATCTGTATTAATATCACAATGGATGACAGACTGCAGCCAAAATAGGATCAAAGAGTAACCTGAATAGGCAGGAAAAATTCTACAGAAGTCTACAATGGCCAAAGCTAAGGCAGTCACTTTTGAAAGGAATAATTAGGTCAAAGAACAGTTCCTCACACAGTCCAAACCGAAGCAGCCAAACATGAGCTAGTAAGGTCTACTTCTGCTGCTAAGAGGTCAGTCTTCCTTCTGAACGCCATCTCTAGAAGCTCCTGTAACTGGTGACAAGCTGGAAGTTCTAACACATGAGATGACGGTTTTTAACAATATTCCACCTCAACATTACCAGGAGCCTTTCTCAAACCCACTCTCCCAAGGTGAACATTTCACATCAGTGGGGGTAGAGCCCCTTTTATTCCTTTGTCTTTGTGGAGACTGTGACAACATGGTGAGAACAGCACGTCTTCCCACCAGTGTAAATACTTTATGAATGCCTTTTTGTAAACCTTCCTGTCAGAGTGAATTACTCTCCAGAGCAACTGCCTGCTCCATTGTAGCTGGTGGCCATTTGAGCCCCCAAATAATTCTATAATTGGATTTGCCAGGGAAAATGTAAAACAGAATGAATCTAATTCAGGCATTACCAAGAATGAATGTGAAGGGCCCAGGCATGTATTTTTTTCCTGTGTTTGATCCAACTAATAACTCAGATTAATCAATTTCCCTGAGGGTGAGATAGAGAGGATGCAGGATGGGGTGGAGTGAGTGAGGGGGAGGCAAGGAGGGAGGGAGGCAGGGAACAGGAGTAAGGGAGCCATTGCGTTTACCTTGCAAACTGCAGCACCTACAGTACTCTGGAATAATGTCCTTCTAGGCTGATGTCTATGACGGGTCAAAGAGGAATGAGAACTGGCCCAGGGGTCCAAGGACTCAAGAGCTGCCAGAGGACTATCTTTCCAGAACTCAGTGATCTTATCTCTAAAATGGGAATGACATTAGGGTCCCCAGAGCTTTGCCATGTTCAACTGATAGTGTTATACAAAATACAATAGTAAGCTAGAATTGATAATGGTGAGGAAAACAACCATTTATTGAGTGAGACACAGAGCAAGGCCCTATTTATAACATTGCCTCATTTGATCTCACAATGACCCTGTTTTATGAAACAGTTAAGATGGGAGAGGTGGGATGAATTACTCAAAGTCACAAAATTAATAAACAGAAGAGCTGGGATCCACGCCCAGGTCAGTCCAACTCCCAAACTCAGGCTTTCCTGAGTGCACCAAGCTGCTTTCAAGATATGTTCTTTATGGAAGAGGACACTCTCTCTGGAGCAATAAGAAAAGATGTTCAAGATACACTGTTCAACAAAAAATGGGACAGACTAGTAGATACAGAGTATGCTACCTTTTGGACAAGTGAGGGGGAAAATAAGAATACATACTTATATTTGCATTTTTAAAAATTCCTATAAGAATACAGAAGAAAACCAACAGAAGTGGGGAGGAGGGAAGGAAGAACAGGGGTAATGGATAAAGAATGGAGGTTTTAATTTTGAAGCATGTGAATGTCTTACCTATGAAAAGAAAAAAAAAAATTAAGTTCTTCATGGAAGACCATTCCATTCAGAGCTAACTGTGGTTATGCAGGAATATTGGTGACCTTTTGACTGGCATGTGAGATTTACGAAACTGATATTCTTATAATCCATTATTGATGAAAAGACAAAATACTGCTTTGTTTTATTTTAAAATACTGCTATGGTCTGAATGTTTGCCCCTTCCAAAGCTCATGTGAGAGCTTGATTCCCAATGTGGCAGTGCTGAAAGGTAGGGCCTTTAAGAGGTGGTTGATCCTGAGGGCCCTGCCCTCACGAATGGATTAATTCATTAATGGGTTAACGGTTTCATGGGTTACCATGAGTATGAACTGACGGCTTATAAGGAGAGCAAGTAAGCACACTAACAAGCCCTTTTTTGCCATTCTCGCCACGTGATTGCCTGCATCACCGCGGGACTCAGAGACTCCTCACCAAGAAGGCCTTCACCAGATGTGCCCCCTCAACCTTGGATTTTACAGCCTTCAAAACTGTTAACAGGGCTGGCCCCGTGGCGCACTCGGGAGAGTGCGGCGCTGGGAGCACAGCAACGCTCCCGCCGCGAGTTCGGATCCTATACGGGAATGGCCGGTGCGCTCGCTGGCTGAGCGTGGTGCGGGCGACACCACACCAAGGGTTGTGATCCCCTTACCAGTCATGAAAACAACAACAACAAAAAAAAACTGTTAAGAAATAAATTTCATTTTCTTATAAATTACCCAGTTTCAGGTATTCATTCATGAGCAACAGAAAAATAAACTAATACAAATACCTACCTCTTTCTCTAGAGCTTCTAAAGTCAAATGAGCAGCCAACCACAATTCAGGACACCAGAAGCTGGCAGACTTCTCCAATGATGGAGAAATCCACATTTATCAAGTACCTACTTTCTACTCAGACTGCTTATTCTAGCAAATGTACCACAGTGAAGCACTCACAGGCTTGCACTGCCCTGTGGGAAGGTTCTTCCTTACCTTGATCAAATTCAGACCCTTGCCGTTCCAGCTGTTTACGTAGCTTCTCATTTGTTTTAATAGACTCTTCTAAACGTTTTCTCAAAGTTCGAATTTCCTGTATATGTTCCATTAGTAAGTCTACAGGAAGGAAGGGCATTTTTAATTTAAAGTCTGAAGCCCCCAACAAATTAAATAATTCATAGATTATGCAGGGATCTTGAAATTCCAAATAGTATTAGATGCATTAAGATAGTCAGCTACTGGCAATTCTTTCCTAGACATGGGAAGGCTGAGCTATTTCCCACAGCCCACAGACATGGTTCTATAATGATTCTCTGTAGCCCTCCATGAGGAAGATATTTTACATCACATGGAAAAATTATATTCCATACAATTTTAATGCTAACTCTAATGCAGCCTTTTATTCTTCTAAATATCAAATATTAATTTAAAATCTTCCTTATGGCAAAACTAACAGATCACTTTCAAGTCTGCTTGAATTGCCTGAGAATTGATTAAACTACCTTCATAATGAATCCAGATATTTTCAAGACTAATTTTTTGAAAGGAATATGTTATCCATTTATCACTTACCAATTTAAGACTTAAAAATAAAGCAAAACAATGTTAATGAGAATGGTAATAAGAAGGATCTCAAGAGGACATCCCGTTAGTGTGAGTAAAAATGCATATGACCTTTTGGGACTATTTTTATCATTAGCCTTAGAAAAGTTCTTTCTATTGTCTTTTACCAAATTATTCTACTTCTAGGATTCTATTTAAATAGTTCACCAGAGATGCTGACCAGCATCTGCTAGAATGCATGAAAATGTTCATCTTAGCATTGTATATAAAAGTAAAACCTGAAATAACTTTGTCTTTTACCAAATTATTCTACTTCTAGGATTCTATTTAAATAGTTCACCAGAGATGCTGACCAGCATTTGCTAGAATGCATGAAAATGTTCATCTTAGCATTGTATATAAAAGTAAAACCTGAAATAACTCAAATTGTTAAATAAACTGTAGTATATCCATCATGATGTAGTATTACATAGCTATTAAAATCATGTTATGAGGACTATATAATATCATGGAATAAATTATTATATCATTATGGTAAATCTTTAAATAGATACAAAAATGGTTACTCTAAATAATCACAACTCTACTAAAAAATGTGAAAGAAAGGAAAGACTTAAATATACAAAAGAAGGAAATACACCTAAATGTTAACAGCAGTTGTCTTTGGGTGGTAGATTTTAGATTTTTCAAAAATTCTATATTACATTTTAATATAATATTTAATAACATAAAAATTAAACATTTTCCACATTTTCTAAAATGAGCATGTATTATTCTTTCAGCCTCCACCATATCTCACTTTACAAAGAAAGAAAGAAGCAGAGTTCCAATCCAGAGGTAGGATTTTAGAGTCAGTGTTTAAAGCATAATCACATTAAGTATCCAAAGGCAAAACTAATGTCTTTAATTCATCAATTACGGTATACTCAGTTTGTCTTAGTAATGTTTGTCTTAAAACATTATACTAATGTTATGACCCAGTTTTAATTCCTCCAAAATGACTTTCACTTAAAAGTAGCACAATGTTACAGATCTTTTCCTAATTAAATAGTAATTTTGCCATGAATTTGAATGTTTATGAGATGACTTAATTCCCAGACTATCAGTATCTCCTATTAATGCCAGAAGTGTGGCAGGTAATTTGGTGGAATGTCTGCGGCTCTTGCTGCAGTACAGCACTGAAGGACTCTGTCTGCAACAAACCCTTGGCACACCCCAGGGCCATACCTCCCCGTTCCTGCCTTGGTGCCCTGCAAATCTTCTGGTGGCTGGTCAGTCAGAGTCAGTCAGCAACTTATCTATTTTGACTGCAACCTTCCTTGCTGGTTTGTCCAAGTCACACACTGCTGCCTTTTGGGGTAATAAATGACCAGTAGCCATTGATACACGTCATCTTCCACTGAGCCCTTGGCCAGAAGCTGAAATCATCACTTGGGCTTTAAGGAGACATTCCCAGTTGAATCGGACACCACTTATTAATTATGCAGCCATATTGAGGAGAAGGAAACACTATACCAGCCTTTACAAAATGGGAGAAAAATATCTGTCCCTCAAACAATAATACCCTTGTAACAAATGCTAACTCTTTGGAAGACCATAAATAAATACTATAAGAAGTCACCACCCCCAAAAAGTATACACCTTTTGCCTAGTAGTTCCAATTTATAAAAATCTATGTTAAGGAAATGCCTGAAAATAAGGGGAAAGCTTCACGTTCAAAGATACTACTCCCCACAGTAATGTTTACACTTGTGAAATTCTGAAAATGACTTAAATGTCCAACAGGGGAACATAAGGAAAACTAGAGATCAGCCATTCAATGGACTATTCTAAATCACTAAAAATGATGTTATGTAACAACATGTCAGAAAGCTTATAATATTAAGTGAGAAAAGGAAAAATACTAA